TATCAATTTTGAGTGAATTATCTTCAGTAGTTACTAAAATATCGCAGTTTTCGTATTTCTGAAAATTACCGTTATATGGGAGGTAGGCGTGGTTATGGTTATTGTCCGATCTTGCCCATTTTCAATACCATCCGTCCTACCACCAAAAGAAGTACACGTACCAAGTTTCGTTAAGATATCTTAATTTTTACTCGAGTTATCGTGTGCACAGACGGACGGACACAGACAGTCACCGCTTAATCGATTTCTNTTCATTCTGATCATTTATGTATACATTTGTCTATATCTATCTCGATTCGTTTTGCCTGTTACAAACAACCGTTATGTGAACAAAGTTATAATACCCTTGTGCACAAGTGCGCTCGGGTATAAAAAGTTGCATCCTCACATACTATAAATTAATACAGGGCTACCGCGTATGACTGATTGAGGTGCCTATGCGCACGATAAGCATTCGACAAGTTGTGGGCAGCGTTGCCATTTTAGCCGTTTTCCGGCTAGATTTAGCCGGTTGCGACAGCAAACAGCCGGAAAAAATTCGATTTAGCCGGCAGCCGATTTGTTAGCCGTTTTGCAAAAAAAAATTAGCCGTTTTTAGCCGATTTTGCTCTTCGCCTTATTTTATTAAAATTCAAATATACAAGTTTTTATTTTTACAAATTTAGTGCTCCAAAATCTATTAGAAATGGCTAGTCTTATCTCTGAGAAAATTTTCATGTCGGACTGTGTTATATAAAATTGAAAAACAATCAGATAGTGAGCCGATTTCAATGTTTTTTGTTTTAAGCGAGTGACCCAAATACACATAAACTGGGACGCGTCATTTTAGCAGATTAAAAAGTTACAAGTTTTGCTGAAATTTTGCAGAATTTTCATAATTTTTACACCAAGTGTGAAATCTGTTTGTAGTATATGTTGTTTGTTAAGTAATGTGCTACATATTCATAAAAAATAATAAATATTAAATAAACTAAAGAAAAATAGGCAAAACTTGCTTAAATTTTGCGTCCCAGTATATATTTGGGAGAACGTAGCGGGAATTTTCTGCATAAAATTTTTGTTATGAATGTCTTAAATTTAAGTGTGAAGTTTTATTCGCTACACTTAGAAAATAAAAGAGCACGAATTTCGATGTGGAGCAAAACTCTCTGGGAAGACAATACATGGTGCAAACATACTTTTTAAATTTTATAAAATAAAACTGCAGTAGTTTTCATCTTATGTGGATAATTCTTGTGACAAATACATAGTTTCGTGCTTATATTTTTTGTATATATATTTTTAGCAGCACCACATCTTTATCAGAAAATTCCGAGAATCCAAAAATTGGTACTGTTACAAGTTGCAGGCATCATTTTAACTCGACCTCTTTCCTGTTCCACGGATAATGGTACATCTTTCAGAGGTTTAAAGATATTTTGCGTCAGCAATGTTTTATCAACCTACGTACCCTACCTCGGAAAAGCAAAAAACTATATATTCGAACGTTTGCTCAGGTGTACCGAATTCTGGCAGTTTGGAAACGCGCAACACTTTTAGTATTTTCATCCAACTTCACTAACTTCAATTTTTTTTTCTACCTTTTTAAGAAACAAAAATTTTTCTGCTATTGAATCTGGTGGCATGATTTTAGTTAAATGTCATAAACTTCTTAAAGGTGAAGTGGTCGGCAACAACAACGAATGTCAATAAATTAAACTACCTTCTGCTTTCACAGCTTTACCTGTTCATTTCTCAAAATATTGCCCTCCGACTAAGCAAAANACAGACGGACAGACGGACAGACGGACATGGCTAAATCAACTCAGCTCGACGTTCTGATCATATAAGTATACATTTTAATGGGTCTATCTCTTTTTGTTCTGGTACTTACAAACATCGGACCAAAGTTATAATACCATTCCATGCTCATGAAAGGTATAATAAAGTGGTGTACAGCTTAGCTACGTATAAATAATCTTTATTAACCAAAAAAAATTCAATGGATTTACTAGTCTTTCTAATTGTAGTTTATGTATTTAAAAAAAATTCAATTCTGGTTGAAACATTTTAGCCGTTTTTTTTGTCCAATCTAGCCGGTCGCCCTGAAAAGTTCTGGCAACACTGGTTGTGGGTATGTACTCTAGTAACATAATGCAAAACTTTGCTTCATAACTAATACTGTCGCTTAGTTAGTCAAACTTTAATATGTAATTTTATAGATGGCAAATAGCATCGCAATTTTCCATTTTTGTCCAGCTAAATCGTCTCTTTTGCCTTATGTTCATCGGTTAGAAAACAGGTATAAACACATCACTCATTTGACGCGAAGTGAAAATATGCTGGTTTTCTTTATACAGCTCGTTTTAAATTTGAATTATTATTAATATAAATTTGAATTATTGTTCGTTTCCATTTCAGTCAATTGCACAAATCAATTATTAAATAAATATTGAAATAAAACAACAAATTTTGTATACTTTTCTATACGGTTTCAGCGAGTGTGCTGTAAAGACGCAGGTCAAAATTGTTTTTTTTTTGTTAATGGGTAGGTTCAGAAGGCGCAGCAGTTGAGCGCAACCGTTGCTAAAAAAATCAGTGATAGTAATGCGTCATCTGAACGGCTTGATATATTATCTGTCAAATTCAAAACACACAACATGTTGTCTCAAATGATCAGAAAAGTATTACGATCATCTAACACGTATCTGTAGTTGATCAGAAATACAAAACAACGCGTTCAGAAGGTGCAATCGCAACAGTTACTGAGCTGTTGCGCCTTCTGAACATACCCAATGCGGTTCTTTCGTAGGTATAAACAAGGTAATAGTAGATTTTTTCAGATTATTTCATCTCGAAAATGTCAAATATTTTAAATTTCTTCTTACGAAAATTCAAAATTGTTAAAATCTATTTTCATGTGAAACCTTTTTCCATACAAAACAAGCAATTGAATAGCAGCTTTTCGAAACGTTCTCCTAAAAGCCTGATTATAGCTCTGATCCAGTACTCCATGAACTTACAGGTTTTTATACGAACTTGGAGGAAGTTACAGGAAAAATGATCCCGTACTCTAAATTCCTCCAAAATCCTTCAAGTGAGTGCGATTTTTGGAGAGTTGTGTAAAGAATGAAGTTGCAAGATTTTACCCGAACTTTTTCTTCTGGTAAAATCATGAAAAGTGTCAAGCGATCTCTGGTTGACGTTTTTACAGATAATGCTTTTTTTTGTTCCCGTACTTTTGGTTGTTACCCACTTTTTACTCTCACTTCAGAGAGTAATTTTGCTGCTTGACATTTTAACAGGATTTTATACGAAAAGTATTGGATCAGAGCTTATGGCAAAATAACGGAATTTAGAACTTAGAAAATCAAAATGAAGCAGATTTCGACGCGGCATTAAGGTACGTTAACTTTCGGCTGTTCAATTATAAGCAACATCCATTTAAGAGAATTTTTAAGTGAGAGCATGTAAGTTACGTTAAATTGCCATAATCAGACCATAACTCAGCAGCACAAACGCTGATTACTGGACTTTCAAAAGCATGGAAGAAAGCAAGCTGCAACAATTTTCATTATTCCCAATTTAAATTTTTTATTTTCTGTATTTTACATGTCACGCTTTGATTAAAGTGAAGAAATCAGAACAGTTTTTGACACTCTCGATACCAGAAGCAACAAAAAAAGTAAGTGCGCCTGGGCCACACTGGAGAAGTGAAACTTACGTTACATACATGTCTATTTTGTCTCATAACTAATATATATACATACATATGTACAAACATACATACATCTGCTTTTGCTTATATTATATTTTTTGTCTTTTTACTATCTAGATACCTACTTCTACCACTGTTCGTTCTAATAACATTTATGTTACTCCGTTTTCCTTTATCTTCATTTTTATCTTGATACTCTATCGATAACAAAATCGATAGTAACATCCAACAAAATATCGATAAAAAACCCATAAAAATATGGATAACAAAATCAATGACAAATTCGATAAAAAGTTCGATACAACGACAATAAAATTGGTAGCAACATCTATTAGAAACTCGATAAAAATATCGATAAACATAGCCATGACAAAATCGACAAAAATATTGATAAAAATATACATAGGCAAATCGATAAAAATATCGATAACAAAATCAATAAAATTATCAATAACAATAAATATTGATAACAAAATCGATAAATATCGATAACAAAATCGATAAATATTGATAAAAATACCGATAGCAAAATCGATAAAAATATCGATAATAAAGTCGATAAAAATATCCATAAAAATATCGATAAAAATATCCATAACAAAATCGATAAAAATACCGCTAACAAAATCGATAAAAATATCCATAACAAAATCGATAAATAGCGATAATAAAATCGATAAAAATATCGGTAACAAAATCGATAAAAACATCCATAACAAAATCGATAAAAATATCCATAACCAGATCGATAAAAATATCCATAACAGAATGAGTAAATATCGATAACAAAATCGATAAATATCTATAACAAAATCGATAAATATCGATAGCAAAATCAATAACAAAATCGATAAATATATCGATAACAAAATCAATAAAATTATTCACAACAATATTGATAAATATCAATAACAATAAATACTGATAACAAAATCGATAAATATTGATAACAAAATCGACATTATATCGATTACTTCCGAAAATATCGATAGCAAAATTGATAAAAATTTCGATTAAAAAAACGATAACAAAACCGATAAAAGTATCGATTATTTTATCCATAAGTCCCCAGAATACCGAAAATCTCAAAATACTTGCTAGATTAAGTCTCTGTGTCCCTCCCTATATCCTTTCCTCTTTAATTACCTTTATTTTAATCTTTCTTCCCCTATCTTCATCTTTATTTTTATCGGTATCCTCATCCTCCTCTTTGTCTTTACTTTTATGTTTATCATTTTCTTCATCTACATATTCTATATAAGTAAAGTGTTTCAATTTATCTTGGTCTTCATTTTTGCCTTTATCTTTACACATCTTTGTTTTTGTTTTTATTTTTACCTTTGCCTTTATCCATGTGCGTAGTCATTTTTACTTTCATTCTTGTATTGGTCTTTTGCTAAGTGTTATTCTTTAACCTTTTATTAGCAAATTTTTGTTAAATTAATACCATATGCATACACACAAGAAGTACTTGTTTCAGCCCCAACCATTTCCGGTGCACCATTTCCATGGCAATATTTCCGTTGCATCATTTCCGTGTGCAATTTCCGTTGAATTTGCCAATTTACTCCCAACCAACCAAACAACCGCCGCTAAAGAAGTTTCACTTCAAAAATACCCACAAATGTTGTTTTTACTCTAATGCTACTACCTGTTTGATATGCCTTGGCATCACCACTTTTTGATATTGTGTCTGACATTACTTACTTATGTATATGGTTTTATAAATTTTATAGCAACGAAAAAGCAAATATTTATTCCCTGCACAACAATGTCTTACGCTGACCATCGGAAAGGTACGCGCAATCAATCTGATGGAGTATTCGACTCTGATTACCTCGCAACTAGTAAAAACGACTTTCAGAGATCAGTAACAAATTGCAAGCTGTATCCAAGACATGGAATCATGTTCTCAAAAGAACCTGAACTGGATCGCTTTCCCTACCGCAAGGAGTTGAGTTATTTGCCCACAACTCTTCACCGCAATTCTCTAGATTCGGGTTCGAGAGACTCGCTAGAAGGTCACTTAAATCCCACATCACCGCGTTTGAAAGCAGGTAAATACTATAAAGTTATAAGAATACAAAATCTCAATTTTTAACGAAGGTGCGAACAATACTGCCGAACGACGTGTGACGAACGTCGTAATGACACCTAGCGCATGTAAATCAAACCCTCCGGGTCTACATCACTTTAAACCCAACACAAAGGTAAATGTGGTTGAAATGAAGCTAAATCACAACGCAATCAAAGAAGAGAGTCCGGTACATCACTACACTTATTGCCAGTTTTTCCAAGAGGCTAAGCGTAAAAAGTCTAAGACGCGCGGAACACAATCTTTATATCGGTAAGTTGTTGTTTTTGCATATGTTGTGTACAGAGCTATGCAAGTATCTTCGGGATAGTGCTGGGCAGTATCCATACGAAAAGTACTCAAAACTCTAAAAAGTATCGACGGTACCCGATTTTTAAAAGTATCCATACTGAGTACTCCAAACTGCTCAGTACTCACAAAAGAACTCTAAAGTACTCTGAAATTAAAAAAAAACTCAAGTACTCAGTACTTAAAAATAGTCTGTTACAATCATCAATATGATACTTGTACTCAGGATCGATTCAAAGTACTCACTATTAAGTGTCGAATAGATATATACTTAAAAGTATGATAAACAAAAGGTAGTTCCATTGTCACTTTTTCGTCGCCATATTAACGACCTGACATTTCATCAAAGGATTAAGCTTTAGTTTAAAATTAAGATTTCAAATTTTCGAACACTGATTATTAAAAATCGGTGTGAAATATGCACTTCCACCAAAGCAGAAAGGTATTCTGCGCAAAAATCCTGTGGTTGGCATAAACCGCGTTTACATTTTCTGTTAAAATTCTAATTTTATCCCATTTCCAAATAGATCCCCAGGCGTCATAGAGGGGAAGGTTGACTTCCTTAAGTTTGGACTATTCTTTTCCCAACGGGTGGGATTTTTGGAGCCAAATCATTATATAAATAACCGAAAGAGATGAAGGATTAATTTGAATAAAGTTTTGTCAGCTTGTACTAAGTACTCTGCAAAATACCCGATCCTTAAAAGTATCGACACCAAAGTACTCGATACTTTCGAAATCTCGGGACACTATTTTTTGGCGTCAATAAAACTACAAAAATTTAACAGCATTAAATCTGTTTGTCATCAAGCCGATGAAAAATTATTTTATGCGGCTTAGGGCCGAAGGTTAAATCAACATCATTGCTTCGCGGGCAATACCATGGGTTTTTTATACCCGAGCGCACTTGTGCACAAGGGTATTATAACTTTGTCCGCATAACGGTTGTTTGTAACAGCCAAAACGAATCGAGATAGCTATAATTAGACAAATGTATACATAAAGGATCAGAATGAAAAGAGGAGTCGATTAGGCCATGTCTATCTGCTCGTCCGTCTCAATGAAATTTGGTACTTGGATTGCCCTTTATCCAAGGTAGGTTGGTATTGAAAATGGGCGAAATCGGACTGTATTTTCGAAAAATGCAAAAACTGCGATATTTTATTAAATATTACGTCCAAATTGTTGTAAATTAGTATGCGAAGTATAATTTTAGTACAAAATAATACTATTATGAACTTTTTGGACAATGAGCGGGACCCCGCCCACTTATGATGGGAGGCTGTATCTCGGTAGTCCTTACAAAACTTGGTACGAGCTTTGCACAACTTAAACTGAGTAGAAAATCTTTAAAATTGGGTCCACCTCTCATATAACGGTCATTTACAGAAACACGAAAGCTGCGATAAATCAATAACTACTGAAGCTAATAAACTCAAAGTCGATTGTGGCAATAACAAGTTAACAGAAGATTATATTATTTTAGATTTTTGAATAATGGGCGCGGCGCCGCCCACTCACGACCACAAATGTGTATCTCGGTTACCGATTTATCAATTTCGACCAAACTCAGTGCACGTAATAACCTTGGTACGGAAAAGCAATTCTTTGAAAATTATTTAAATCGGACTAAAATTACACCCGCTTCCCGTGTAACTGTAAATTTCAGAAAAATTAAAACTCCGATATTTCAACAACTGAGGATTCTAATTTACTCTAAGTTAATACTTACAACAATCTCTCAACAATAGACTTTTAGGAATTGAAGGTGTCACCGCCCACAATATGACTACAATCTCAGTAACCACTTTATCGATGTCTACCAAACTTGGTTTAATTATATTATTAAGTCTGACTTAGCGGATCATTGAAAACGTTTGAAATCAGTGAAAACATCCCTGCTTATCATGCAAAGGTAGTTTAGAGAAAATTGAAGCGACGATATTTGATACCTGCGCCGGGGACACTGAGGGAAAAATGTCGGCCTAAAAATAAGAACAAACTAGCTGGATTTAAGTATATGAAACTGCATTCTTGTAATAAGAATTTCGTACTCAAATCAAATTTGAGGCTTCTCTGTTATGAGTACGAGTATTTTATTTTAAGAAACATTATAAAGAAAAAGGTTGGGTTAGTTATCACAACCTTTCATATTTCGACCTAGAATGTTAGATGTATGTATATGAACAATATTTTCACAAAAAGACGCGTGAAAAAATTAATGATATAATTAATTTTTTAAGTTTGCATGATCTTAGTTCCATTAATTGGAACTCAAAAATATCATTCTTAATATAAGATTTGTGTTCTCTATTTTAGTATCTTCAATCTTAATCCGATTTAAATGCTAAGATAGAGTACAAAAAACTTGATTCCTTCTCTGAGTGTATATATAGTTCGGTTTCGTCCGAACTTATACTTCTTTACTAGTTTATTTATAAGTTTCAACACAACATTGATTGGCTATATCGAGGACTGATATTCCATACCCTCTATCTGCACTTTTCACAAAAATGAGATTCTGATATAAAAATCCTCCTAAGACAATGCCAGATAGAGGGCATTGAGTGCAAGTGCTGGATCTATTTTAGTGGTGACACATTTGCAATTACATAATTAGAAGTTCAATATACTGAAAAAGTTTGCCTCTTAGATGTACATTATTTTTGATAGCAAAAATAAAGATTGAAAGGGTATAGGTATTATATTATACGCAAAGTACTTTTAATACGTCTCAATGCGGATGGAAGACTATTCCAAAGGCGAATAGTATTGACAAAGAATTACTGCTGGGATATTGAAGCATTCGAATACGAGTAAACCAGCTGTGACGATCTAGTTGACCGGGTAGAGTGTTAGCAGTGTTTCTGGTACTGCGGTTCGTTTGTAGACACTTTACTTTTAAAAGATTACACGGTGCTACAAAAAAAGTCACGAAATACACCCGACGAAAACCGAGTGTAAGTTCTAGCTGTGGTCGAGTACAACATGAAAATAGGCTGAAATAGGCTGTGTATAAAATATCTGTTCTGAAAGCTTCCATTTCTTATATGCTGAGTTACGTTGATTTATAAGTAATCACGGTTAAACCTGTTATTGAACCTGCTATTGTGTTTTAGGCGTTTGGACAAGAGGGACATCCATACAAGCTATTAGAAAGTAGGTTAATAAGGCATTATTAAAAGTTTACTTGATCACCCATTGATGTCAAATTGCGTACTAAGCCCCCGTCAGTAGCTTTGACCTACATCTCAAATGCATTGTTATATGATTCAAATCACGATATAAATGCGAGTTACGACTAAGATTTCGAAATCGTAAATAAGGAACACTAAGTCGTGTTTTGATAAACTAGGCGCATATAATTGGTAGAGAAGGATGTCAGAGTAATCAATAACAAGTTAAATATCGATAAGCGTACTAGATGTTTAAGTTAAATGTGTAGGGTATCTAGTGTAAAGTTATTATCGCGAAGTAAGTAAGGCGGCCGCTGGGGTGTAGCGGTTTGCAGTGCGCGCTACCATTCCGCAGGTCCTGGGTTCGACCCCAGCTTCCGACCAAAACAAAAAAAAAGTTTTTTTCTAATAGCGGTCGCCTCTTGGCAGGCAATAGCAAACCTCCAACTGTATTCTGTCATGAAAAACAGCCGTCCGGCGCAAAACTGTATGTCCTTCCCTTTAGTGTGACCACATCAAGGCGCACACCACAAATCGAAGGAGATGCTCGGCTAAACACTAACTTATTATTATAAGTCAGAATTAAAGTCTCCAGATATGTATTTTGCAATAGAGTATGGTCCTCAAGAAATTCAATGAAAGGACAAACCGCTTTATTTGGCCTATTGACACAGCCTTTAAGAATTTTGTCCGCATTCAGCGCAGTGGCGGATTTGGGCCAACTTGTTAAAACAGGTTAAACTAACAAGACGTCTAACACGTTTCACCGATGAGTGACCTCTCAAAGGTCGATCTATATGACCTACAAGCATCCAACCGGCAATAAAAAAAATAAATCTTTTATAAATAACAAGTTACAAAATTTTAGATTGTATTTATTAAATACACGCGCTCCACCCAGTTATATTTTTATATGCGACGCTGTAATGGGAAGTTTTATAAACTATATTTTAATACGGTATTGTTATTTTTATCCTTAGTAGATTACATTACCTACATTAAAATACTATATTTTACCAAATAACCCAATAAATTAAAAATAAATAATTATAGTATATATATATAATAGTCTCCAAAATAGTGTCAAATATTGTTAGAACTTGTAATTTGATTTAAAAAAGTGCTAATAAACGCGTGGTATATTTTTAAATGTGTATGATGCCATATGGCATCAATAATATTTGAAGGAGCTGAAATCCGCACCAGCAAATAACGACATATTTGTACGGGGAAACTGCAACTCGTAAATTTTTTAAATGAATTAATTAATCTATGCATGTTCCAACTTATTTTATTAAATTTTTGTGGTGTTATTTAATTTGATTTGAATAAAATAAAATACCATATTAAAAATTCTTTGCATATTTTTTACACCAGTTAGTACAAATGATGCCATATGGCATCATTCCAAAAAACACTTTAGAATCGCATTTTGGAAAAAAATTAAATTGAATGTTATTATATTATGTATTAACGATCATTTAATAAAAAAAATTTATTTTTAAAGCCCGAATCTAAAAAGATGTACCGAAAGGGTTAAGTAGTTTTTGAGATACGCATATATGATATTGATGATTTGAAAAACCACCTTTTCGCTAAAGAGCGATTGTATATATAAATTTTAAAAAAATATTGATGAATGCCTTAGCCAGACTGCTCAAAATATCTGAAAGTCCGGTACATACACACGTATAAATTCAAAGCCGTGTTTAAGTAAAGTTGCCTAACTTCGACAATTTGTATGCGATTGCAAATAATGGGTATCTCAGTTTATTTGAAAATAGATTTAATTTTAGATAGTACTACGTATCTTGAAATTGTCGAAACTAGTGATGGTCAAAAGAACTCGCCCGAAGAAAAATCCCAACAATCCAAGTCTGACAATAGATTATTATACATCATTTTAAAGGTCTATAAATCCTCTTTTCACAAAAATAGCACAGGTTTACAAAAAAAAAAGCTTATGCATATTAAACCTAACCGATATATGTATCCCTATGTTATTCGACACGCTGAATGCGAATCCGAAGCCCGTTAGTCTCCACCACGTCAGGTTCGTGGTCAGTTGAAGGTCAAGTAGGGAAAAATTCATTGAATAAACCAGAAAATACATAATACATAAGGTTTTACATTCGCTGAACCCGAATCCGAGGTCCGTTAACCTCAATAATGTCAGCTCCGAGGGAGGTCATTTGAAGGTCAAATAGGACATAAAATTTATTCAATAAAAATTAAAAAAATTAAAAATTGTTTTTGTTGTCACTGAAACGGAGTTTGGAGGTCCCTTGATTCCTCAAAATCATCTGGAGGTCATGCCAAGGTCAACCCAAGGTCAAATTCCGATGAATTTTATTGAATTTTCAGGTTTATTCAATGAATTTTTTCCTACTTGACCTTCAAATGGCTACGAACCTGACGTGATGGAGGCTAACGGACCTCGGATTCGCATCCAGCATGTCGAATAACTTAGGGATATATAGCTTTGGTTTAAGATGCATACACTTTTTTTTTTGTAAACCTGTGTAGTCATTAAAAAACTGATAGATCTACAAAACAGTGTTTTCTGGCCTAAAATGACAAGTCGCGACTTCTAAATGATTTTTAAAAAATCAATAAAAATAGGCCATAATATTTTTCATAAAAAGGAGCAAAATTAGGGGGGAGGGTCTTGAAATTTCAAATAAAAAAATCCTTTGGGCAACTTAATGTATATGAGCAAATTCTGATGCTGCGGACGTTACGTTGTGATGTAAGAAAATAGGTGAAATTTTAATTTAAGTAAATTAATGGCTCGGCCAAACACTAACGTATGTGTAAGCGCCAATCTATTATTATTATTATTTTTATTATTAAATTAATGGCGCACAGTGGGAGAAATCACGAAAACGCTGGTCATATGTGTATATTAAAAATTAACCCAGAGGCTTCATATATAATATGAATATTAGTATGAGGTGTTAATATAAACAAAATCCGCCCGCAAATGCGCCAATTTCCATATAATAGTATTTTTTAAAAACTCACAAGTGTTATGTTTAGGAAGCTCTTGCAAAAAAAAAACAAAATGTGTTAGTACCTTCCACTAAGGCTGAAATTAAAGCTAGAACTATCGACTGCTGTCTCTGAAAATACCATCCCTGCATCTTGACCCAAAGGTCACTTATAGTCATTTATAGAACAAAAAAAAACTGATTTGAACAACTTCTTTTTTTCCCAATATTTTTTTATTGTTCAATAAATGTTAGTGCTGTTTTGATAGACTTTTTGTGGTTATTACGAATCCGTAAGTACTATAATGTTTCCATCTGGTCCACATTTTGAGAAAACGAGGTCAACGTGTCAAAAAATCGTGTTATTTGCAATATTTGAGAAACTCTAGCAAAGATAAAACCTTCCACTTAGGCTTAAAATAAATCTATCTCGGATACTGTCTCTGAAAATACTATCCCTGCATCTTGACCCAAATGTCAAACTTTATACCTACGGATTCGTACTCAGCACAATAAAGTGTATCAAAATCAGCTTTAACATTTGCCGCACCAAAATCGGTGTTTGGCTGAGTAAGCTTTCCATGAGCACTATTATTATTTCATCGCACTATTCAATCGTGAATTTCAACAGAACTTGGACGAATCTGGTTACTTTCTTTTTGAATTCTTGAAGTACGTTATTATTGCTATTATCTTCAAAGTGCAGAATAGCCCGATCTCCCGAGATCACAAATTTTTCAAAAATCAAATAAAAAGATATTCTTATATATTTTATAAGTACAATTAATTTTTAGATATATTTACTTGTGTCAAAAATTTGAAGGTTATTACTTAGATTATTTAAGATACCGTTAGAAACGCTCTCTATGCCGCAAAAAATAATTGAGTGCTTTAACCATTATTTTAAAATCAAATTTCCGAAGCAAAATTTTAGAGCCAATGAGAAAAGAAGCATAAAACTTTAGTAAGAATAGCAAATTCACACTGCTATAGTGAATAAGATTTGTGCCTTATCCTTTTCATCCACTACGCAATGGACCTTACTCTTGACAAATTACCATGTTTTGAAACAGTCGGACAACTTTGATTTTTGTAATATTGGCCAGCTTTTTCTTCATTTCTCCCACTATGGCCGGTGTTATTTCCCTCGAAATTTGTATTCTAACGGTACTCGTAATTTTGGGATGATCATCTATCTTTCATGCATGGGGAACACAATCTACAAGAAAGCTTTGAAGAGAAAATAATATACATATCGTCACCTGAAATGCAAAAAGACGAAACAACATCATCACTGAAATGCAAAAAGTCATAACTAATAACTAATAAAAAATTCAAAATTCACTTTTTGATTTATATCAGGGACGGAAAATAATCATTATTTTATAAATGTTAACCAAAAAAATCAAGAAGTTGTAATCGTCGTAAAACAATTTTAACTATACTCACGTATTTGTGTTAATACGTCCTACACCAATTTACAAAGACTTTTATTTTTCGAGTTTAACCAAAGGGAATTATTATTAATTGATTTTTTTCGATCAATAATAATGATTACTTTATGATTTTTATTTTTTCATTCAAAGATAGGTAATAATTATTATTGAGTTTAATTTTTTCACTTAATAATGATCATTCAAAAACCTCAAAAGCTATACCAGCGTGATTTCTATCGTATCCTTTTCAGAGGTAGTGACACCCTAATAAAAGGAATAAGTCCCAAAATTTTCAGGTCGAAATTTCAGTAAGTTGCGTCTGTATGGCCTTTTCAATTTTATAAATAATCATTATATTGAAGTGGAGAAATAAAACGCAATAATAATTATTATCTCTGACCGAAAAAATAAAATGCATAAAATAATCATTATTTGTGATCGAAAAAATAAAAATCAAGTAATATTCATTTCCGTTTAGCGAAAAAATTTAAAGCAATATTCATTATTATTTTTGAGCGAGAAAATAAAAATCATAACATATGTAATGATTAAATGCTGATTTAAATTATTTTACTCATAATGATTACCGTCCCTGATTTATATGATGGATTTCATCGAATTACAACCCCCTCATCATTTTATAAAAAAAATAATAATATTAGTCACGACTATTTCTATTCCAGTTGCGATGTTGTTACGTCTTTTTTGCATTTCAGGTGACGATATACTGCTTAACACCAAGGCCATTTAGAGCTTGGTTTCAATAAGTTAGATCAGCAAATTCGCATTTCTCAAATAAATATGAAATTAAAATACATATGTACATACTTATCGTCGTTTAAAGTACAAAACCGCGTATCACCAAAATGCAACACCGCGTATCAAGATAATGCAAAACCGCATATGTGAGGTTGCATAAATTATTTTCTAGAGAGTAAAAGAACTCATATTTCAAAATGGTTATCGTTTTTATAAAGCAATCGCATTTCTGGCTGGTATATTTCAGGACGAATGGTTAAGGATTAAGCCAAGAGTTCGTGTAAGCAAATCCAATTTTTGGCAGCCAATGTCAGTTACGCGGTTTTGCAGAATGACGATACGCGGTTTTGTACTTTAAACGACGTTATATATATTGTATTAGATAGACCATTCTTGACAGAAAAATTTGAGAATTTGAATTAAATGACTATTTTTTCGGTTTTGGTTGACTATTTCTGGGCAATGATGTGCGACATTTTCTGGTACCAAGTGAGTCCTCCACCCAAACATTACCGTTTCTTCCTGAGGTGTCGAATAAAGATAATGAGTTGGAACAAATAGAGCTTTCCAAATTGCCAACTATCTTGCCCGGTGATGGTCCTCCCGGCTTATATCAAGTCGAAGTACTGGAACGTGCGCGCAAAAGATGGGCTTTTGCAAGAGCATTAAAAGAGAACTTTAGACAGCAAATAGACGAAGTGAAGGTAAAAGCCAAACAATCCGAGCACGGCGTTGTATTACAGGCTTTCGAATGGGAACATTGGATCGAGCGCGAGGAGTACTTACAAGAATGCCAGATGTTGCGATTGGAAATTCTCATTGGTATGTTCAATAAACGCGAACAGAAAATTCAAGAGACCTCTAAAACACGCATTGAACGTAGTTACGATCAAATACTCGCAAGGCGCGATGCTTCATTGTATAAGAACCAATTGAAGTATGAGAGAGAAATGCGTCAACTGGAAATCAAACGTCGTCGTGTGCCAAAATGCTGGAGGAGAGAAAACATACTCAGCCAACTTGGAACTCCCACCTCAGAGTTCTATGGACCGGAATTGCGTTATGGCGTCAATCCATCACGCAGGCACTTTGTGGGCGGACGCGAGGAGTTCGAAGCACGTATGGATGATTTAGAGAAACGCGCCGTCAAATTTAGCAAGCTAGTGTGCTCGTTCACCAAACTTAAAGAATGGGCGAAGCCCAAGCAGCGCTTTTTGGAAATCGAACAAAACTTTTGCTCGGATGAAAATCTGCAAAAGATGTATGAAACACTTACGGTGAGTAAGAGGGGACACAAGGTATTCCAAATTCCACAAAGTCTAGCTAACTAATTTCTTTAAATTTTAGAGTTTACGCAAACAAGCAGTTAAGCAGAAAGTAGTACCGAAGTGTCTTATACAAAAGATTAAACAAAAGGTAAAGGATGAAGTAAAAAAACCCATAAAAGCAAATGAAAATATTGTCGAGGAATCTAATGACATTGAAGATGTAACTAAAGATAAAGTAAACGAAGAAGAGCTCCAACGTACGGACGACACGGAATTCCGCCAATCGATAGAAGCAAAGAAGCAGCGAGCACAATATCTTATGGAAGAACTGTATAACGAGGACCTCGAGGCCATGATTCAAGAATATGAAGGCTACACCATTGGATGGCTTATGCGTTTCCTGTCCGAGGAAATGGGTCGGCTACAAGAACAACGCCTTCTGCACTACATCACTATGCTCGCCCAAAAGGAACGTTGGCTCCGCGAGGCTGCCGAAGCTGGACTACGACAAAAGGAAAATGAAATGCGTCAAATCTATGAACAAATATATATTGATTCCTACGACTCTTGTCGCAGTTATCTTAACATGATTTTGGAAAAAGACATTCCGAATATTTCTCATGAAAAGGCAGAGGTTGAAGTATTGGATATGGCAAGAGTTATTGATGCGGACATACAACGTTGGCTAGATTCATTTTATGCCATACAAAACCCATTAAATTATTACTCCTTGCGTCATAACCTCAAGACGATAATATTTAATAATGTAGATGATATTCTAAAAGCAGTCGAGACCAAGCAATCAGTGAAGTATGTCATTGAGATGCTTTTTATAGATGTATTCGAAAAACTAGAACCTTACGACATAGGGTCGTATGCGGCAAACGAACTTGTCGATCGTCTTTTCGATCTCGACCTTTACTACTTCAGTTCGGAGGAGAATTCGACCTGCTCCTGTCTTGCATGCGAATGTCCCGAAAGCGAACGCGAGATTAGAGCTTTGATACGAAAGCTAATAAGACAAGCCGTGCCTGGACGGCGTTGGAAAACACCAGTGGAACGTTTAGCCAAAGAAACGGTGAAAGATTTGATTGACGGTGCCATTAATCTAGCTATGAGTAGTGGTTCAGACTTCGAAAGTGGAAGCATTGAACGTTTTTGTAGATTGCGATTATCTCCCTCGTATTTAAATTTATTTTCCCCATCAAAACCCCATAGTTTCGATAGTTTTTCTACTGATGAATCAGAAAGCATTATACACATCGTGCAATCAGATTTTCCTTGGATTCGCGAAGAGCTGCCACTGAAACATAAGAGTACTGAAAGCTCAGGATCGTACCGTCAGCTTATGCCCGAAGCGGTAAGTAATATTTTTATTATACATACATATATACGTATGTATATATGCTAGACCATAAAACAATAATTTTTAGAAGGTAGTTTCACTTCAAATTTTTTGACATAAACCGTGTCTGAGAAAAACATGCAATGTGGCCACTGCCACGATTGAGATCTTGGGGATTTTCGCATGTTATTTTAGATATTTTTAACAGAACATGTAAAGAACTGATCATTTCATTTTTAATATACATATACGTAATTAAAATATACATTCTTGCCACTGCTAATCACATGAATAAAAATCATAAAAACAATAATGTGACGGCAATATTTCTCGTTTAAGATATTTTAGATCCATCGCACATCACGGATTTAATCGGCCCCGTGATTAAGTTGGTGTAGTGTGCGCACCTCCATACATCTTCATGTACATATTTAAGCGAGCCCTACTATTTAAGTAGGCGGCTGTATTCTTACATCTATTGCGTGTGTTGCAATATCCACGGAAGCAGCAGTTAATTTTTTCATAATTGTTTATGAAGAAAATTATTAAAAAATATTAGAAAATTTTATACTTATGTATGTACTACAAAAAATACGAAAGACGTTTTCTGTAAGATAGCTAACATGGCGGATAAGAAGAAGAAGTGAAACTACCTTCTAAATATTATTGTATCATGCGCTAGACTGATTCAAAAAAATCTACTTACTTTTTTTAATAGCCCCTTTTTCAATACCTTCGGACGGATGTCAAAAGATGCCTGTTAAAAACGCAAACGTTAATATTAAGTTCAAAAGGTCGCACATCGCGGATTTCTATTTTCCATATAAAATACTTAGAAAAAAAATTCTTTTTAACTTTGGAATTTGTTTTCTCGGCTATGAATCATCTAACTAAAAAATGTGGTACATATTTTTGTAGGAAATTAAACGCTCTACAAAAATATATAGTTCGATGACTCATAGCAGGGAAAACCAGTTCCAAAGTTAAAAACAATTTTTTTTAAAGTAATTTATACGGAAAATAGAAATCCGCGATGCGCGTTCTTTTAAATTTAATATTAACGTTTGCGCTTTTAACAGGCATCCCCCGGAGGTATTGAACATCCCCCGGAGTTATTTAGGAGAGGGCTATTAAAAAATAAAGTTTGCCGATTTTTTTGAATCAGTCTAATAAACGTACATTAGACTGCAGCACCAAAAAAAAACAAGTTGCATTTTTTTCCGGCGGGATTACAAAATCTATTATAATATAAGACTTCTACCAAAATATTTACGAAAACTATTAAGATTTACGTGAGCTGGACCGATTTGAAATGTTTGAGTTTTTTATGAATAAAAATAGTTTCTTAAAGAAGTTTTTGGAAAAAATCCCCTCAGATGACAAAACGGTTTAAGCTTAAAATATCTAAATAAAAATATTAAAAATTTTAATCAACGGAATCATGATAATGAGATTTTTGATGCTGTTTTTTCAAAGGTTTGTTAAAAAAAAACTTGAATAACTGCTCCAAAACTTTACAGATATAGACTTATGAGGTATCAGTGGACAGGTATTTTCTCACCCTTTTTATTTCTTAGCAAACAAACTCATTCACGTCCCAATTTTTTCTTTATCAAATACCAACACATCTTAATTCATCATGGAATGACACTCGTTTATCTAACCTTCCTCTTTCATACTTTGAATGAGCTTATTCGCAAAGAAATTAGAGGGGTGAGAAAATACCTTACCAATGATAACTCATAAGTCTAAATTGGTAAGGTTTTGACTGAGTTATTCAAGTTTTTCTTAAACCAGTCTTTGAAAAAAGTTCGAAAACTGCATCAAAAATCTCATTATTATGATTCCGTAGAAAATTTTTATTAAATATTTTTATGCAAATTTTTTAAGCTGAAACTGTTTGAGGTGATTTCTTTTCAAAAAGTACTTAAAAGAACTGTTTTTATTAATAAAAAAACTAAATTTGTGGAGGTATTTTCAAATAGGTCCAGCTCACGTAAATCTTAATATTTTTCCGAAGTCTTAAAATATAATAGATTTTATAATTCCAGTGGAAAAACAGTACCGATTTTTTCTTTTGTATGGGGAGTGATGCAGTCTAACGTACATACTAGGGTGCTTTTTTGGTGACTATTCGTTTTCTTCACTCCCAGCTCGAAATTTTGTGGGAAATACCTTAGAAATAAATTCGATGAAAATTTGAGTCCTTAATATTAATATTAAGATACGTGCAAAGGTTTCTCATTTAAAATACACGTAAACTTTGATTTTTTTTCTTAAAAATTCTACACTCAGCGGCAATTTATGGAATGCAATACCGCATAAAAATCGCAATCTCGCCAGCTTTCGGGATCGAGTTCATCAATTTAGGAAGGGCTTTTAAAATTATCTACTGGGTTATAAAATGATGTATATATAATAAAGCCATTCACGACGAACATTTTGGCGAGCACGTTCACAACTCGCATTTCGTCTTTTTAATTGTTTTCTGCAGTCCCGCAAATCCCGCGGATCCCGCATGTGTAATTCCTAATTTCTCATCCCGAAAAAGTGGCGCGGGATCCCGCGTTTGCGGGATTGGATTCCCTAATGATGGGGTGTCTTCAGAATTGAATTCTCTACAAAAGTGTCGCAATAGCTTAACCCTAACTCCCCCCAGCGAGGTAGTACGGGTCACTAAACCCAATTTTTTCATGAAATTCCCGGTTTTTTGTCCCCTATATCGTAAGTAACAAGAGCTACAGAAAAAAATTTAATGAAAAACGTGTAGGACATTCAATTTCCTACAAAAAATTTTAGAACATCAGATCTTTAAAATCGATATTTCTTGAGATATTTTGTTTTGAAGTTGAGTAGTGTGGAGTTTTCATACATTATCAAGCTAAATTGTCATTTATAATATTCATTTATTCACATTTAACTAACATATTTACATTTTTTGGGGCTCTTGCTATTTACGAGATAGGGGTAGAAAAAACGAGAATTTCATGAAAAAAATTGGGTTTTGTGACCTGTACTACCTCGCTGGTGGGAGTTGGGGTTAAGTCGCACTAGACATTTTTGTAAAACATTAAATTCTGAAGAAACCCCATCATTAACCATCATTATAACAAAAAATAAGTAGAATTTTGAAGAAAATGGTCAAAGTTTACGTGTATTTTAAATCGTTGCACGCCTTACTACTAATATTAAGGGCCCAAATTTTCAGGAATTATTTTTTAGGTATTTCCCACAAAATTTACATATAGTACTGAAAATGGACAAACTCCTTTCATCCGCCTTCAACAAATTTTTCGTTTTACATTTTCCATATATGTAATACTTCTATATTGGCAGTAAGCTAACTTCTCAATGTGTAAGCATTCCGAAATCAGAGCGAGACAGTCTAGTACTGTTTTTGTCAAAGTATTGTGTACTTGAGTGCCGTTTTTGTATATGTGTTGTGTACCCCACTGGGAAAATAGGTAAGCACCTTGCGAGGTAAGCCATGTTTTCTTTCAGTTTTTAGTACCAAAATTGTCATCATGGCCAATGTCATCTACTAGTAAAGGGCAAAATGAACACCTCCGAAGACACATTACGTTGTCAGTTGCAAAATAACGTGCAGCCGAAGTTATTTCCAAGCACCGAACTACTCCGAGCGACTGCTCTGCATTACACGTAACTTACTTTGTAAAGCGGCTCAGAAGTATGTCTGATACCAAATGTACATTCTAAATTCCTACTTACATAAGGCGGCCATGCCTTTGTAAAAGTAAGGGACGATCGGCAGGGAAATGGTAATGACTGCCAGGTGAAGAGTAAGTTGCTAATAAGGTATTATTACGTGCTCCTAATTCTCACTGGGACATGTTTATTTATAAACGTATGTGTTCCTTTTCTTTCGTACGTGTTTATTGATATATCTGTACTATAGTGTTTTCGGACGGTACTAGCTCTTACTGCCAATATAGGAGTATTACATATATGACATTTTCCATACACATTTATCCAACTAAATCGAACAAATTCCGCAGTTGTTGTTTTGCCGCTCACATTAATTTTAAATAAGAAAATCTACTAATATTTGCCAATTCCTCAGTTTGTTTTGGAATCTTCCGAAGATACCGATACTGATAAAGGCTATATAAAAGATAAGACAGAAGTGAAGGACAAATCGTCAGCAAAATTTTTGAAGCTAATCCACAAAGAGCTTTTAAATTTCTTGAGTTCTGGAGAAGAGAGTGAAAGCTTGGAAGTGGAAGATTTGTTTAGTACCACTAGAAGCGTTCAAAGTGATTCAAGCGATGCCTGCGGATTAGGACTAATCATAGAAGAAATTATTAACAAAATATCAACATTTGAAGATACAACCAAAGGCCCCCGCAAAATGTCGGAAATCGTAGAAACCGTCACCAGAGAGCCATATTTTATAACAGAGAATGAAATCGCCGAAATTTACAAAAAATCTGCGCCCCTTGAACTTATCACCCAAACATCCAATGAAACATCTGCCGAGCTATCAGAAAAGGAACGTGTAGAGAAAGATATCGGAAGTAAACAACAATTAACTTCAAAGACGTACAATATGACGCAAGAACTAGAAACCGACTCGCATCAAAACGTTGACGATACTGATACCGAATCTACAAATGGACCAGAAACACTGCCGCAAAGAGGGCAACAAGAACTAACGTCTCGAGAGGTATCGCATTCAAGAAGTGACAGCATGAAAAAATCATCTTTAATAACCAGGGATGGCCAACAAAGTGGTACGTTACGTGTACGTATCAGTGAGAAAGAAGAGAAAATGGAATTCGTAAAACCACACTCAACAATACCGGTCGAAGAACTGGTTGGAAGGCGTGAAACCTCAAGTCTGAAGTCAGTGCAAACTAGCGATGAAGTTGCGCCAGAAAACAATAAGTGACATTTGAATGGAACTAAATATATTTTTACGTAATACAAACATATGCATATCGAGGGCTTATATTCAATACCCTCTATCTGCAAATTTCACAAAACCTACTTAGCGATGTTAGAACCCATCTGGGACTTTATGTACCTGTTATCACTGAGGTTAATTCTTACTTTGCTGTTTAATAGTAAATTCGTATGTCACAGTTAAGTTTAAAGTGAGTTTTTATATCAGAATCTCATATTTGTGAAAAGTGCAAGTATTGAATATAAGTCCTCGCGATGTGTTTTTTTTTATTTAAGTGGCTTTTATTATTTCACAAAACCTGTTGTAATAAATTTTTCTGTAACACATATCTTGCGACATTTCAATCTATACCTATACATATTAAAGTTAATTAAATTCACATTAATCCCGTACTGCACATGGGGCACGAAATTGTGGACCGAGCATCCCGGAGTACAGAATATAATAATAATAGATTGGCGCTTACACATATGTTAGTGTTTGGCCGAGCTTCTCCACCGATTTGTGGCGTGCGCCTTGATGTTGTCACACAAAGCGGAGGGACCTACAGTTTTACGCCGACTCCGAACGGCGATTGTATTTTTATGAGAAGCTGTTTTTCATGGCAGAAAGACACTCGGAGGTTTGCCATTGCCTGCCGAGGGACGACCGCTGTTAAGAAAAAACCGCTTTCTATATTTTTTGCGATTTTGTTTTGACCAGGGCTTGATCCCAGGCGTTGCGGAGTGGAAGCGCGCACTGCTTACCACTACACCACAGCGGCCGGAGTACAGAATACCCTTACACTAAACCAGGATAGGCAGTTTGGTACACTGATGGATCAATATTTGAATATGGAAGACCTGGAGCCGAATTTTAAAGGATCGATACAAATAGGCAGCTACCACACTATTTTCCAAGTAGAGATTCATGCAGTAGAGAGTGGCAGAGAATGCTTCAAAAGAATCACAGCTTCTAAAAACATATGGTCGATCATTTGGCTGGCAACGTTACATTCGTACGTATTTTTTTATAATCAATTATCCATTAAATAAGGGAAAACCCTTAGATTTTTTAGGTGATATGATAAGGCATGGCCAAATATATATTTCCGCAAAAGAAAGGGTTTAATAATTCATTTGGTATCAAAGTTATAGACACTGGCTCGTGTCAGAATGTTTGAAATTGCTGCGAACTGGGTGATCGAGTATTGCTAGTTTTCCAGTATGTCATCTACAATGAACAAGTACGTCTGCTCAATTGTTCTAAATTTTAAGGTTTTGAACATTTTTCTCATAAACTTTGGGCACTTGTAACGTTACACAAACCACTGGCCACGTTACACGTACGGTGTGCTTGGGTAAGGTTTAACCCAAAGCCTTTGTCCTTCCATTTTTTTCCGCATTCCTATTCTGACATCATAAACAAATGTTTGAAGGATTAAGAAATATAACTTGATTATCCTTAAAATTTCTGACTAGGTCAAAAATCTTCCGACAGTAAAAATTTTCGCCGGGAGATCTTCGCGTTATCATCGCAAATAATATTTATTTAACTTTACTGCAAAATAATGCCTATTTACTTAAAATGTGCATAATTTTATCTAAAGTACCATGTTCTGCTTTCTTTCCAATCCTTTCTAAATCATTGTTAGTTTTTCATACCATCAAAGATAATTTCAAAACAGATTCAGTGGTTTCTACAGCTTCGTTCACCTTAGATACAAAAATGTTTGTGCATTTATCGCAGTTCTACAGAAGAGTTCTCCAATTAAAATTTTTTAACCAAACCATTCTCATAGATTAATAAACTCTTAATAGTCTGGATAGTCTTGTAGCAGCTTCTATAAAATTGTAGTGATAGGAACACAATTACGTGTAATAGGGCAGATCAGTTGCAAAATAATTCATTGCATTCCAAGCAAATATACTAAATGTACTCAGAATCTTGAGATATAATGATTTCAAAGGGTATTTTTCACATGTTAGTTTCGTTTCATTTAAGTAGAACAGTTGTCAGAATTTAGTAGTATAATGCCCTGTTCGTAAGTGTTCAGCCATTGATGGCACGCAACAAAATAAATTGGCACGATATTAATTGAGGACTCAATTTCTCAATTACTAGTGGTAGTATTTACTACCTAATCGACACAATTTCTTTTTTGAAGTGAAACTTCTTTAGCGGCGGTTGGTTGGTTGGGAGTAAATTGGCAAATTCAGCGGAAATTGCACACGGATCTGGTTGGGACGGAAATTATGCAACGGAAGTGATGCAACGGAAATGGTGCAACGGAAATGATTGGGGCTGAAACAAGTACTTCTTGTGTATATGCAACGGAGATGATGCAACAGAAATGATGCAACGGAAATGGTGCAACGGAAATGGTTGGGGCTGAAACAAGAGCTTCTTCTGTGTATGCATATGGTATAAATTTAACAAAAATTTGCTAACAAAAGGTTAAAGAATAACACTTAGAAAAAGACCAATACAAGAATGAAAGTAAAGGTGACTACGTACATAAATGAAGAATTGGATAAAGGCAAAGGTAAAATAACAACAAAAACAAAGATGCGTAAAGATAAAGGCAAAAATGAAGACCAAGGTAAATCTAAACACTTTACTTATATATATAAGAACAAATGTGAAGGGGAATATGTAGCTGAAAAAAATTATGAACATAAAAGTAAAGACAAACAGGAGGATGAGGATACCGATAAAAGCAAAGATGAAGATAGGGCAAGGAAGATTAAAATAGAGATAATCAAAGAGGAAAGGATATCGAGAGACTCAATCTGGGAACTATTTTTGGATTTTAGAGATTTTCGGGATTCTCGAGACCTATCGATAAAATAATCGATATTTTTATCGATTTTGTTATCGATATTCATCGATTTTGTTATCGATAATTATCGGTTTTGTTATCGATATTTATCGACTTTGTTAGCGATATTTATCGATTTTGTTATCGATATTTATCGATTTTGTTATCGATATTTATCGATTTTGTTATCGATACTTATCGATTTTGTTATCGATAATTATAGATTTTGTTATCAATATTTATCGACTTTGTTATCGATATTTATCGATTTTGTCATCGTTATTTATCAATTTTGTTATCGATTTTAATATCGATATTTATCCGATTTTGTTATCGATATTTATCGATTTTTTTATAGATATTTATCGATTTTGTTATCGGTATTTATCGATATTTATCGAATTTGTTATCGATATTTATCGATTTTATTATCGATATTTTTCGATTTTGTTATCAACATTTATCGATTTTGTTATCGATATTTATCGATTTAGTTATCGATATTTTGATCGATTTTCTAATCGATTTTGCTACCAATAGTATTATCGATGTTGCTATTGAAATTTTTATCGAATTTGTCATCGATTTTGGTATCGGTATTTCGATGGACGTTATAATCGATTTTGTTATCGATAGAGTATAATGATAAAAATGAAGATAATGGAAAAACAGAATAACATGAATGTTATTAAAACGAACAGTGGTAGAGGTAGGGATCTACATTGATAGAAAAAAAGCGAAAAAATATAACCTTAAGCAAAAGCAGATTTGTGTATGTATAGATAGATAAGTATCGTAAGTTTCACTTCTACAGTGTGGCCCAGGCGCACTTACTTTTTTTCGTTTAAATTGAAGATCAAAGCAAGATCTACTCACACCCAAGAAAACAGATCAGAACAGCCAAAAATACAGACAGTAACCAACAAAATCCACATAAGACATTCGATCCTTGAATTCTATTGCATCATTCGTCAATAAGTTTTGTGCGCAAAGCATGGCTTCGTTTCCCTTGGTGATATAATGGGCGTAGTTCTCAAAAATAACGAACGTCGTATCTTCGCAGGCACTAAATAAACAAAGGTTTGAGGCTTATACGTGGCTTATAAAATTGGTGGTTTTTACGGATATGCGCCAGCATTTCAATGATTTGAACGTAAAGCTTCAAGGCTCTAATAAAACAGTTATAATTATGATGCGAAGCTCCCATTCGCGCTTTTTAGGCTGAACTAAAAGTTATTGGTAAAGATATTCAGGCATATTCATAGTCGAAATAAAGTCGACTCAAAATTTAGTAGCAGCTTTTTTAGCAGATATTACATTGATAATTATATCAAAAAGCTACAACAAACTTTAACTTCGTCTTTATTTTGACTATGAATATGCCCCATTGTTTCCAAAAATTGCAAATGTTTGCAAACTCAAATTTAAAAACAGATTTGAATACAGATGAAAAACCAGACACACCAAGAGTCTTCAAGTGTTTTCTTTAATAAATATCTCGTCGACAAATTTTCATCGGGTTTTTCAGAATTCAAGGGGATATCGGAAACACTCAAATTTATTATGTATCCTGATGTGACTTCACTTGATGAACTGAATTCAAGGGGATATCGGAAACACTCAAATTTATTATGTATCCTGATGTGACTTCACTTGATGAACTGAGCCATGGGCGTAGCCAGAACGAAATTTAAGGGGGGCCATACACAAAAAATCAAAACCAATAACTTACTAAAAAATTGTTTATTATAGTTTAAAATTATTGTAACCAATAGAGGTAAATATGTTGTACAAAAAAACAAATAAACAGAAGTTCACAAAAGTTGATATGAAACTATTCGTCGATTTAAATTATGTTACATTTTTACTGAGCATGATTATTTTACGAAGAGGAAGCATCGAAAGCCTAACCCCGTCAGTGTGAGACTTTAACCCAAACTAAACTTCCTACCGTCATGTACCGTTCCCCTCCCGGTACCACCGTCAAGGATTTCGTCGGGATTATAACACTGTGTGACTGATAAGGTTATAGATCTATTCTCTTCTTCTTATTTGGCACTGTAACCGGCAAAGCAACTGACGCCAATTGGAAATTCCAAGTGAAGCCAGAATACTTTCAGAGGTGAGGCGTCGGTGTCCATTCGAACGACATGGTCAAGCCAGTTGAGCCGCTGTATTTTAATTCGCCATATACTAGCAAGGGCATGAAGAGTGACTTATGGTGTGGTTTTCGTACGTCGAGAGAGGACTTTACTCCTGAATTGCCTACTCAGTCCAAAGCAGTACTTGTTGGCAAGAGCGATTCTGCGTTGGATTT